GGTGGATTGCAAGCCATGTACACAGGCGCCATCATTAGCACACTGATGGCTGTTTACTATTCACAGGGGGCTGAGTGATACTAGCAATAACAGCATTGTAAGAAGGGGACAGTGGAACGTGGAGGCCTCCACCCCTGTTTAATGATGGATGGTTTCTTTTCACAAAGATGGCCTCCTTTACTCCTCTCTCAAACCATCGTTCCTCTCTATGCAAGATGTGAACATCTTCATCCCTGAAAGAGTGACTGCTGGCCAGGAGATGAGTGTGGACCGCAGAATCCTGGCCTGATGGTGTTGCTCTTCTGTGCTGGGCCATCCTTTGGGCCAGTGGCTGTTTAGTTTCCCCGATGTAAGACTGATCACAGCCCTCCTGACACTGAACAGCATACACAATATTACTCTGTTTGTGCCGGGGGACTGGATCTTTAGGATGAACCAGTCTTTACCGTAATGTATTTTGGGTTTAAAAGCCACTGGGACGTTGTGTTTAGAAAATAAACGTCTAAGTTTCTCTGATACTTCCGCAACATACGGAATGACCACTGGTCTGGGTTCCTCCTTCACACTTAATGGCTGACTGGAGTCCTGTTTGGGTTTCTTCTCTGCTTTCAGGAAGGCCCAGTTAGGATATCCACATTGCTCTAGAGCCGGTCTTGTGTGGGATTTCTCCTTCTGCCTGGCTCCTGAGTTAGTGGAGACACTGTCTGCTCTGTGATACAGAGTCCTGATGACTCCTAACTTGTGCTCCAAAGGGTGATGGGAAGTCAAACTGCAAATACTGAGAAAGAGCAGATAGGTTGGCTAAAGAAGCTGTTAGAAAAGTAGATATTGATTTGCCAATAAAGTTATCTAAATCTGAAGGCAAATGTATAGTTTGGAAAGAAAGCAAGACATTATGGGAAATGAGCTGGGATAATGAGACAAAAGGGAGACATTTATATAGGATACAAAATACAGTAGATGTTAAAAGAATCAGACGAATAAATAGGAGGGAGGAGATAATTATAAATAGAATAAGAACTGGGCATAGTTTTTTGAATGACACTCTTTTTAAGATGGGGAAACATCTTACTGGTTTATGTGATTGGTGTAATACCACAGAAACAATAGAAAATGTTTGTATTAATTGCAGGAAATATGTGGGTCAAAGAAGATTATTGAGAATGGAAATAGGTTGTAATAGGGAACTAAAGTTTGAAAATGTGGCTTCTCAGTTGAATAGTGATGAAGGGAAAAGAAAGATATTTTGTTTTTTAAATAATACTGGATTCGATAAGAGAATTTGAGGAAAGAAATTAATTTATAAACACCAAGAGTTGGCAGTAGTGCAACATTGATGGATGCAAGCTGCCGTTAAAATACCAAAGAAGAAGAAGAAGAAAAAACCAACCAGTGCCAGATTATCAAACCTTACCAAATAAATGGTAAATGGACTGTACTTATATAGCACCTTTCTATCTTATTTCAAGATACTCAAAGCGCTTTACACTACAATCTGTGCCCTCATTTACCCATTCATACAGCACTCTACTAGATCTCTACAAAGCTAATTGAACAAATCATTCTAAAGAGACTAATCAGTGCTTTAGATCACATTCATACACTGATGGGACACACATCAGAAGCTATGAGGGGTTCAGTGTCTTGCCCAGGGACACTTCAGCATGCGACGGCTGGTGGATTTGAACCCCCAACTTTCGCATTGGAGGACGACTGCTCTAACCACTCAGCCACAGCTGCCCCAAGTAGTAGATGTCCAGCATTCATGCCACAGCCTTATTTGATTTCCCAGTTCTGACCTCTTGCCTGCCTCTTGGACTCCTCGCCTTGCTCATGCCCCGCCTGATTTGGATCTTTCTCTGACCATGGTAAGAACTCTGCTCTTCCTCACATCTTCTACATATCTTGCATTGTACTCTGGATTTGGATAAAAATCTCTGGCCACTTGTGTATGACCTCGGACCATTCTACTGGACCTCAATTCTGGACTTGCCCCAACGTCTCAAGCTGCATAGTTCTCCTACTCTGCTGCAGCTCAATCAACGCTGGTGATGTCATTGGATCCACCTGTCACACGGATTCTGCTTTCTGCCTGACTGAAGGTTAGTGACTGCCTTTATTCTCCAAAGAACCTTCACATCCATCCATCCATCCATCCATCCATCCATCCATCCATCCATCCAT